GGGAAAATTCATACAAAGAATTCGATTTTTAGTACTTGCTTGAGCTTGCTTTTCTTAAAGTTTCCTTAAATTCGAGCCCAACCCAGAAAACACTGCATTCACTTTAAAGAGATGAATAGACTGTCAGAAGGCAAAACAATCTAACTTGAAAACTGACAGAATTACCCAAAACTATTTTGAAATTCCCACTTTGCCTATTGAAGCCTGCAAACACAGGAAAATTTTGAGTCCAATTATGCAGTCACTGAAATGCAATTGCTATAGCATTTCCACATAATATTAAAAGTGCATAGTTTAATTATGTTTGTTAAGTGACAGGACATAGTAAACAAAGAAAGGAGTATTACATAATGACTTCCCAAATTTCCAAAAGTAAACAGAAATCAATTAGATCTTAAGTATTTTAGCTTCTAAGAGTAACACCACAAATTAGAGAAGAATGCAAGTTTGAGAGCAATTCTAACCTTCACGTTTTTCGCTCATCTCTACTGATAAACTTCCAGACATTTGCACCTTATAAATATTATTTAAGGAAGCAAAGAACTACTAAGTAGTCAAAAAGGATTCAGTAAGAGATCTACCAAGAAATGACCTCTCATGCAAGGTTTCATGTGAAACCTTTCAGGATGTAACTGAGGGTACTGAGAGCTGAACTTGTGAACCCACTCTCCACCACTGCTGGAAGGCTATTCTGATCAGGAGAGGCTCCTGATGGCTTAAGGCAAGTCCTCCATCCATCTTCTGATGGAGCATTAAGGATGAGTGGGGAACAAGGCCAGGCAGTCTTACTTCAGACCCCGGGAAAGCCATAAAGTTAGTATTCTTGAAATGCACTTCTAATTTCTTTGTTTTTAACCAACGGCTTCCTTCTGTCACAAAAGCAAGTACATCTGTGAGTAAGGAATAGCAGGTGTCATTTGCCTTGGCTTTGACAAGACTTTTGATACCAGATCCCTGTATCTAAGCTGCAACTTTATAGTCCAGGTTAAATTAGATGGCTGAAAAGCTTTTAGAAGGTTGGAGTGATACTAACCAGCTCACTGCTCGCTGTAAAATGCAAGCAACTAAGGATCCCATTTACACTGAGCCTGAGTAAGCCAAGCCTCTGCTACACTGTGGACTGTGCTACACTGCATGTGTTGCCTGGGCTTGTGTTGTGCCACTCTTATTCCTTGGCTGCAGAAGCAATTTAGGTGACTGATTGTAATTGAAATTCACCAAGCACAACTGAGAAGTCTGGTACCTATGACAGAATGGTACAGGATGATGGCCAACTCACTGGAGAATAGCTCTTCCAGAAAGAGCTGACAATCTAGTAAGCAGTAGGTTCAACTTCAGCAGTAAAGACAGGCAGAAAACACAGAGGGCAGAATTTTACAAAACTTGCCCCAGTTTATCAAAATATTTCTTATGCTGTGAGCCCCTAAATTAGACATAATATTCTATATGTGGTGTATTAAGTGTAAAGTAAAGGGGGAATTATCTCTCTCCACCTACCTAACTACACTTCTGCTGATAAAGCCCAAGGTACTATCAACCTTCCCTGCTGCCAGGGCGCCTTGCTGTCGTACACTGAGCCTGCTGTTTGCTTAGATGTGAACTACACTCAATCCAAACTGCAACACTTGTACTGAAAGTTTAAGCAACAGCACCACATAATCCCATTGTGGTTGCTTTCGCTACACTATTTAAGTGGCTTAAGGAACACACATCAGTGGCCAGGGAAGATCTTGGTGACTGACTTAGATTTCAATAGTGCTAGCCAATATTCAGAAAAAAATGTAAGGAAAAAAAAAGAACTAATCCTGAGCTCAGAATAATTACTTGATTAGAGTATGTTACCATTTGCTATATGAAGTATTATGCTTCAGTGGTAACCATGTCTTAAAAATAACAAAAAAACAACACATACTGAAACAAAAGCTGCTTCTTTTCCTGAGAGGTTATCTGTGGCTTCTAGACACTGTCACAAAGGCAAAGGACATTATGAAAGAAAATAAAACAGATTTCTCTTCTTCAAATATCTCATATCCTTCTAGTAGCATTCATGCCTGGGGAAAAGTTGTCTGCCTGAAAGAAGTGCTCACAATGACCTTCTTCACACAGCTTCTGCACAGATTTGCCAGCAGTGCTGGCAGAGCACCCTGCACCAAACAGCACAGGGGCATTCCTTCTCCACCAGCCCACATCTACTTCTTAGTCCCTCAGCAGCAGAGCACAGGCTGTGCTCATGCCCTGTATGATGTATTCTCCCTTGCACCAACTGAACTCAAGTATCCCACATCCATGCCTGAAAAAACCTAACTTTCTTAAGAGCCAACTACTAGGCTGTGGACCTAATTTCATAATAATTACCCATTGTCTTGGAACCATTATAAAATCCCAAAGTCACAGATCTAAACACAGTGATGGTTTGAAAAATATGCAGCTTAGAAAAACTTTTTTATTATTGCCTCTCTAATTATTAGTTCAATCATCTCTGCTCCTATTTGCAGGCTCTAACAGCATTATCCTATGACATAAGAAAAAAATATAATTAATAGAATTGTCTAGTTTTCCTCTAGAAAGGGGACTGATAACGAAAACGCAGGATTATTCCCCAGCCTAAATTTTGGCAAAAGCACATCATTAGATGATCCACTACACTCCCCCCACCTTCATGCCTGGTGAAATAAGTTAAGATCAAAAATCCAACGGATTTGCTATTTAAAACTGTTAGTCTAAAACTGGCTAGTTTTATGAGCAATAAAAGCACTGAGAGGGAAGAAAGAAAACGTAACTACAGGCATGAAGATGCCTGCTCTCCACAGCCCTTTTTTCATAGAGAGGAACATCAGAGAACATACCAAATTTAAAAGCAGATTCACCCCAAGATTTTAATTTGTTCAGTAGCAACAATCTAGAGAAAATTTCAGTAAAGTTTAGAATTATATTTCAAAATAAACAGGTAATTTGCCTTTGAAATCACACTTATTAAAATATCTAACACAGAAAAATGTATTGTGTGTGACAGATAAGAGACTGATTTTAAATTTAAATATATCATAAATTAATTTATAGTCCTTATTTTTTCATTTACATCCACCTATTACATTTCTTTTATTTATTTTCTCATGCAATATGAGCTATCATTAACTTTTATTGAAAAACAGATATTTGGTTTCTGTCAAGAAGGGGTGTCACATGCCTAGCACTCTACAATAGTGCCTGGGAGACTCAACTCTTCCAAAAATTACTTTAAAAGCCTGTCATCTGGAGTAAGAAGTGATTAATGGTTTTATTCATTCACTTTGACAACTGGTGGCATTCTACTCACTTCGAAAAAAAAGTAATTCTACATTTCCACCATCCCCAAAGAAGATTCCCCTGATTCACACTTTAGTTTTAAACAAAGAGGCCAGGGGGCAGTGTGTTGGGATTTCCACATATTTAGGTTTATTTTTACTGTCTATAAATGAAAAGGGTGGAGTAAAAAAAAACATAAACAATGTTTGGGATTAAGAAATACATTCACAGAACAACCTTCACCTCACTTTACCATCATAACTACAAAAATAACAGGGAAAACTCATGGGTTTTTCTTTTACTTAAAAAGCTCTAAGGAGTACATCCAAATTTAATCCATTTTTTTTCATGTGTACATATATAACAAAGACTGCAGTCATTAATAAACCATGTCATTTTGCTTAACTTGTGACAGATGGTAATAAAGAGACCTTTGCCTTCTGGTATTTGTTCAAGAACACAGATTATTTAAATTAAACATCAATCCTTACAAACAGAGAAATACTAGTATTTACATGAAAAGGAATTTGTTTACATAAATACAGAAAAAAATTATAGCTAAAGAAAGCTTTCACAAGCTCCATGTAAATTGAAACTGAGTATCTTCATTGATCTGTTATTCCCTGATACTTCACCTTATTTTCTGCCTTTCTACAACTCAAACAGTGGACAGCTAATTCAGTGTGCTGGCAAAAATCTACAGAGAAAATGCAAGATTTTACAAAATTTCACGTAGAACTGGAGACTTCCAAATACATCATCACCTTCCAAAATCCATTTTTACAACAAAATATCTATATTATAGTACTTTACTGCCTCCTCCCTCACACAGATGAGCTATCATCAGACCAATGAGATGATACAAAACATTTATGTATGTTGACACTACCAAACGTACATAACTCACATAAGATCTATGCAATAATCCAACAGGAAATTCAGTCAAAAGAAACCCCAAATCAACCGACCATTCAGAATCAGTTGAGCATAAGACACTGATTACCCTACTTTAAAACATCCCTGCAGTCGAAACATTCAGGGATACAGCAGTACACTCGTGGGGCAGGTACATCGATGGCCACCAGAAGGAAAGTGATGATCCAGTAGGAGCCTGGCAGCAGTGCACAGGTGCACAGATGCTTTCCTGGAGACGAGTCATTATCCAAGCAGAGACCTGCTTCTTTTCAAGCCAGAGGTGAAAACAAAGGCACAGCTGGATAGGGAGGGGGGCAGGGTTCACCAACAGGCCCAATGCTACTACAGCCAAATTTAACTATTCCAGCTCAGATCTGCAGCCTAATTAAATCATGTTTCAAATACTTCAGGAAGAAAGCACTCCAAGAATTCTTGTGATAGCCTGTATAGGCTGTCCATAAGATACCAGGGTGTGATTTTATTGTAAAAATTCTGTTCAAATATACTGCCTGCTTTCCTACTACAAGGAAAAAGTTGTTCTGACAAATAATTTTCATTTACAAGAACTACAAAAAAAAGCCCACTTCTTCTGTAGCACAGGTAGGCAAATGAGAAATTAATTGAAGAAGTAATACATTAACAGATTAAATACCCTTTGGGAAACTGCAGTAAGATGGAAAGTCATACAATGAGGCCACCCAGAAATTAGCTGCAGCAATACTAACAGTGACAAGCATTTCTAAAAATATTTACTTCATCTGTATTTAAAAATCTGAAAATAAATATTCAGTAAGTTCAAAAAGGATATTGCTACTTTTTTCTTAAAAGAGTTCAAAACACTTGAGTTGTGTATCAGCAAAATTAGTGGGATTTTTTAAAATCAGTTTTACAGTAGAATTTCTTTTAACCACCTCTTGGCAAAGGCATTGCTGAGATAAAACTTGTGCATACTTTACTGTGACACTCGCAGCTTAAAGGAGTGCTCCAAACTCTGAAAAGATTCTATACGTTAATCTGCCAAGACCTGATATGACTACCAGGTGTTCAATTTATATCATGTCTGATTTCAATCTACTAACAGTCATCTCCCATTTTTCCTTCTGACTAAAAAAGGGATTTAAGATTTAGCCCTTCCCCAAAGGTCAGACAATGTTTATCATTAGCCACAATGCCAAGAAGATGTTAATGTCATATGTGCAATGTGCATTCCTTGGCTTAGGACACAATACCACTTTACTAAGGAGAACAGCCATTCTCCATATTTTAATGCAAAATGTGTGAAAAAAACACCATGTAATTGGAGAGGTTGTCATCACAATGTTTAGTGATTCAACCCATTTCTTTTTGCCTGCTCCATAAACTTGCTAAGCCAGAGTACAGTGGATGAAATTAACTCCAGACAGATACTGCTACAGCTATCACATTGCAAATGGCTGTGGGTCACAGGCCACCAAGAGAAAATAATCAGGAAAAATGCAAATTTGTAACAGTGTCATCCCGAGATGCAGACTTCTGTTTACTCACCAACTGCATATGCTATTACAATTCTTTCTCACTGACTTAAGTGCATTGTTTGCAAATCACTGCTACCCGCATATTAATAAATGACATTTAACAGGTGCCATATTAACTGAGTTTTCAGGTTATCACATTTACCACACAACAAAGAAATAAAATTGCACTTTCAACTAATATATTCAGTTCCATTTTTTTTTTTCTGAAATTTGGGGAACAACTTAGTTAGGCAAGCCTTCCACGTGCTTCAAATACTGCAAATCTTGTTTTGTTGGCTTGACTACCATGAAATATCGATGTGAAGATCGAAGCACTTTCATACAAATCAAACCAGACAGGACTATGCAGAGACCACACCAATTGCATATGCTGCAAATTCTGTACTTAAACTCTTAAACTCTGTATGAAAGATGCAAGAAGACATGAGAAGAAATAGAAAGAAAAAATACTGAATACAGTCAAATTTCATTTAGCCACCTAACTTTATTTATAATTACTTTATACTAGCAATCTATGTGGTCTCTAAAAGGAACACATGTACTTCAAGTAGTAGAGGAGATAAAACACTGAAGGATGGATTTTAGAAAACAGACAGCAATGAGACAACAGCCAAAAAAAAGCCACAAAGGAAAGTCCAGTAACAAGTCAACATACAATTTCAGTCTTCTCTTAACACACACACACTCTAAATGATTTCCCTGAATATCACTTCTCCCACTCAGAATATCACCATTTTATTCAGGTGACCTGTGCCTTTGACAGTGACCTTGTAATACTCAGAAATGAAGACCAGCTGCTTCTCTGCAAAATTCTCACTGAAAACTTCACCTGAGAGATTCAAAGTCACTGTAATCACGTTTTACCTTACACTGCCTAAGTTATTACCTTACTAACCTTGTATGTGCATATTATAAAAACCATCCATTTATGTTACAGTGAATTACTTTGAGTTAACACTGGGAACACAACACCTGAAATGAATTTCAAGTGACAAGACCATCATCAATCATACTTTCTCCCCATTAATGCCACCACATAAAGCCTTCTGCTCCACTGCTTAAAAACTTAGGTGTTTTAGGAAGAAAATGTTTCACAGATGGTGCTATGTATACTGATACTTTTCTGAATTAGGAGGTTCTTTGTACCTATAGCATAAGTCAACCAAAATAGCGTATTTATTTGACTAATATTTCATTTTAAAAGATAAATCATTATAAATATTAGTAATGCAACTTATTTGATTCCCATTTCTAACTGTTTAAAATACTACATGCCAAATCAGGAAAGGAATCAAGAAAAAAATATACAAAATTAGAAAGCACCAGTGAGGTCTTCCTTTTGCATCAAGTCCTCAAAACCAACAATTTTATTTGTAGACATTTTTTCAGATTACATAAGATAGCAATTCAGAGTAAAAAAGTGCTGGTATTAAATTAAGAAGAAAAATGGTCTATCAAGATTGTATGTATTAATACTGGAATCAAATTCTTGTGGCACCAATTAGTGCTATTTCTAGGTTATATTTTAATTTGCAGACAGTTAGATCTTATATGATGTTCTGACAAAGAGTGTTCACAAAAGCAACAATTCAGAGACCAGCCAAGTTATTACTTCAACTGCTAGGCAAAAAAAAAGGGGAAGTATTTTAAAAAAGTATAATGAATCTATGGCTCAGTTATGCATGGATAATTACAAGTCTTTGTAAAATCAACTCGTCAGCACACCATAAAAGCACTCACACAGCAGGAATATTTACACATTCTCAAGCATCAGTTTATGGCTTTAAAATATATTGTTCAAAAAACACTAAAGCTTTAGGACAAAGCATTTTCTGAATGTAATGTTCATTAAGGTAAAGTGACATAAAGATTCAATGTATTTGATTCAAACACTACTGGGAGGCATCCCAATCAGAGTTAGGTTTTTCAGTATCTAGGATCCCCACACCGTGAATTTATCAGAGAGCTGATTCAGAGAAAGAGACCAGGAAACACAGAAGCTAACATGGCTATGTGAGCTGGAACCAGAGTGCTGGTTCCTTTCCTCCAACCTCAGCAGAACTACAAGCCTCATGACAAAATATTAGAAGAACAGCCACAGATAACTCGCCCCAACCTAAGAGCCAAATTACTACAGATGCTGATGAAGACAGGGAGATTGATAAACAGTTACCACTGCAAGCAAAACAGGCTCAACGTGAGGGAAATTAATGTAATTTACTGTCAGTAAGACTCAGGTAGTGAGGAGCAGAGAAAAACAAGCCAATGCCTTTGCTTCCCTCTCTTATCAGCTGCACTGTGCTACTCCATCTGAGATTCCCACAGCTTCCACCCAGGGCAGCAGGTGGACAGCAGGCACAGCTGTGCTCGGTCCAGAACAGCTCCTCTCCACAGCTCCTGCCTGCTCACGATTCCCCCTGCGCTGGCACGGGCTTTCTCCCATGGGATGCACTCCCAGAAAACAAAAATCCTTAAGCATAGGTTCTCCACAGGCTGTGGTTCCTTCAGGAATTCTCCATCTGCTTCAGTGTGGGTTCATCCTTCCATCCTGTATCCATGCATCAGATCCTTCTTCTATCCTCTCCCCCTTTTGTCCCACTTCAGATTTCTCTGAAGCAATCCTCTTTTGTGCAGTACTGGGTCCAGTATAGCTCTGATATGGGTCTGTGGGTCTGAGCCATGACACTAAGCTGAATCTTCTGATCTTTTTTTTAAAAATATCAGAATTTTAAACTACATTCCTCAAATATGAGATGCATAATTTTGCATGTTACTGTAAACACTGTGAAACCCTCATGAATAAAACATTAAGCAAACTTCTATGAATTTAAATGGTGTTCCATTATAAAACAATAGTTGAGCTAACATTACAGCTCACATGTTACAGAAAATGTTCAAGCTTTCTACAGTTTAATCATTATTAATGGCACAAGGAAATTATTTACTATCAAATGGGTCAGAGAATACATAAAGAAGGCCTTTGCAGTATTGATTTTGCACATAAAATTAACATCTTCAGTTGTACTTCGAACTGCCAAGAAGGCTTGACTAATACCAACTCCTCTTATTATAAAGCCTTAAGAAATAGCCACAGTTGGGATGTCAAACTTGTTTTTAAATGATGAAAGAGAACATCTGAATGCTTCATGGGCTTGACTAGTCAACCCCAACTAGAATCGCTCTAACATGCAGGATGGTGACATGCACCTGCAATGTTGTGACCAATGTAACAAGGCTAGGCAATCACCCAAATCATTCAATGCTTTGGAGACCTAGGTAGAGCATCTTCAACACAAGCACATTCCCATAAGGTGTACAATTTCAGAGCACCCTGGAAAAGACAACAGGCTTTTTTTAATTTGATAAAGGAAAGCATTTTTGCTTCCCACTGTTTGTTTACTAAAAGCTCACGGTCAACCTTGGCATTAATGTAACATAACAATACAAGGCTTTGAAAACATTTGTGAAAAGCAATCCAAACTGCCTTCATGTAATTCAATGCTGCATTTTCTAGGATGAAAGTTTTGTGTTAGACATGACCACCCACTTTTAAACCCTGTGAAGAGTCTCATATTGTAAAACAAGCAATTCCTGAACTGATCACCAAATTACTAAGAGGACATTCACATATCGTGTTTATCACAGATATCCTAACCAGGTATGATAACTCAAATACTCATACAACAAGAACTTTACCTTTGCCTGACATATTCTGCCTTATCCTCATTTGAGTTCATAGAATATTCAGTGTTAAAAGGGACCCACAAGGACCATCAACCCCAACTCTTCAGTGGGTGACCTGTACAGACACTGAACTCATGACCTTGGCATTATTAACACCATGCTCTAACCAAGTGAACTAATCTCTGTTCTTACCAACAGAACATAAGTAAAAACCCACAACTATTTCACTTGTTCCAACAAAAAAACTGTTGCAAAATATCGTAGGAGGAAAGATAGATATGAGCAGAAATAACAGTTGTGTGCATAGGGGTAACATGTTAAATGAAAGGGCATGTTACTGTCTCTGTGAGAAACAAATTCTAAAATCCTCTAGCACAAATTTCTTTAGAATTCACATTATATGCTAAATACCATTTGAAATTAATGAACACTCAGCTCACAATGAATGTTTTTTAGTGCAGCCAGTACTTGGAGTAAGGTTTCTGGTATTCTCCAGATAGAAGCATATAAATTTAGAACCCAAAAAGGCTATTGTCCAAGAGTGTCACCAAACAATACAAGAAGAGTTATAAAAATCAGACTTTATCTGACTTACCGCCAGTGCTTTAGACAGTTTTGTTCTATAGTTATTCAAAACAATGACATCAATCTCCTTAAATGGCACATATGCAAAGCCATCTTTAATAAATACTTTTCTGGCTCTAAATAAATCCACAGCATCTGCAAGTCCAACCTGAGAAAAAAAAACCCACATTATGGAAAAGCAAAATAACACAGCAACAATGTTTACAGCCCTAGGATTCAAAATAGACCAGCAAAACTTTAACTCATTTTCTCTCTTTTAACACTGTCTCCAGACAAAACTCAAAGACTGTGAAATTAAATGTTGACTTTGGAATAGCTAATCATTATTTTGGTGGGAAAATATTGCTTGCTTACAGAAAGTCATGCAACTAGGTAAAATAAACTACTTCAAAGTTTGTGTCTACAACTATTGACCCGATTATGTAGATTTGCATGACTTACTGATTTGTTATTTGAAAATTAATTTCTTTTTCAAATGTCTGGAAATATGTGATTCATGTAAGCTACATACAAAAGGTTTTGTGAACAGATCTGGAACCCAACCAACTTTACTTCAAATAATCAGTGGGCCACATGACAATTTCTTTTCCTCTCCCTTTCTCTTGCAAAACAATTTCTGACTAATAAAATCAGACCAAACCTGATTTCAGCAACAGATGTTTGAGAATGTCTCCATCCTGAACAATATGTCAGCCAGCTAAATTAAATCATTTGTCTGGGAAACATTAAAACTTAAGATCATTTTTGTGGCAAAAGTAAGGGATGACAGTAAGAGGAGAGAAGACATTATCAGTAGTTCAAAGCTTCCTTCTTTTTCCCAGTCTCTTCCTCCACCCCTATACTCACATGAAGTAGAGGAACTCTCATTAGTCTTTTATATACTTTGATTTACTGTGACTATTAGGTAAAATTAGTAACTTTGCATTTAACTGACAGAGAATAAACACAGATCTGTGGGACTCAGCAGTTTTTACTTACCTTATAGAACATTTGTTCTTTTACTTTAGGCAGACTGAAGCCAGGGGTTGACACACTCAACTCATAAGCCAATTCATTTTTCAGGTCTTCACCAATCTAAAATTAAGAATTTGTTTTAGAAATAGAAATACTTTAGGATAAGGCTTTTTTATTTTATTAGCATGAGCTAAAATATTACTTAATTTATAATATTATCAGTTTAGTTGAAAAGAGAAAAGGAGCTATATATACTGCAAGCAATCACTAACAATTAATTAAGCAGAAACCAGCAAAACACTAGTGGTCAATGGTGTTAAGCAACCCTCCCTCTGAAGCAGAAGGGCAGATTTTAAATTACAGTAATTTTAAGCATTAACAAGAACTGCAAAACACAGTTTTTAGAAGCCAACATCCCTAAAATAAAACTTGTGGCAATCTTTGCTTGTCTCTAGATATGCATTAAAACAAAGCAAGATGAATAAATGGCAGTTAGCAAGAACTTGACTTCATCAGATTTTAACAAAAAGAACAGTTTCACCTTATTTTTAAATACATATTTAACAAAATATTTAACAAAATTATATCTAATCTTATATTCAGGATTCATAGAATTCATAGAATATGCTGAGTTGGAAGGAACCCATCAGGATCGTCCACTTCCTGGCCCTGCACAGGACACCCCAAGAGTCACCCCATATGTCCAAGAGCATTGTCCAAGCACTTCTTGAGCTCTGTCAGGCTTAGTGCTGTGACCATTTCCCTGTTCCAGTCCCCAACCACCCTCTGGGTGAAGAACCTTCTCCTGATATCCAACCTAAACCTCCCCTGACTCAGCTCCATGTCATTTCCTTGAGTCCTGTCACTGTCACCACAGAGAAGAGATCAGTGCCTTCCCCTCCTCCTCCCCTCACAAGAAGCTGTAACTGCAGTGAGGTCTCCCCTCAGTCTCCTCCAGGCTGAACAGACCAAGTGCCCCCAGACACCCCTCACATGGCTTCCCCTCAAGGTCCTTCACCATCTTCACGGCCCTCCTTTGGACACTTTCTAATAACCTTATGTCTTTCTTATATTGTGGCACCCAAATCTGCACACATTTGCATAACATGCTTTTGATGAAGTATAATGGGAGTAGTCTCTGACAGAAAGGAATTAAAATGTTAAGGAAGGCAGAATACTTTCTCAAAATACAAAGGGACAGAGGTGTCACCAAAGCACAACACATGACACTGCTCTCCATAAACTGGATGTGTGCTCCAATACCTACAAGTGAGCTGATACAAGGCTGCAGTCAAGGTAGATTTTAGGGAATAGTCAGGAACCAAACCCAGGCCATCACATTCAATAAATATGCAGACTCCAAATGCAAAATGAAGTCACCCTATGTCTTTCCTCTCCACTGGAAAGGGATGTGCTTAAGCAGTTTTCTAGTTTTCTTCTCTGAATGTGGCAGAATATCTAATTTGTTGACCAACACTGATACACAGTTAAATGGGCATTTATACAAAACTTTTTTCCTTCTCAACTAAAAAACCCAAGAAAACTAAAAAAAAAACCAAAAAAAACCACTTCTCCTGGAAGTCATAAACCATTTAACTTCAAACTTGGAGGAGTAGCTTAGAGAAAAACAGGGATTTGATGTATGAATATGAAACAGCCAAGGCAGCAATGTTGAGAAGGTTTATGGTTACCCTGTCTGCATCTTGATGTAATCTGTAGTACTCTCTCAGGAAAATCAGCTTTAAAAAATAATAATAAAGATGCCAGCTAGGCAGAAGAATGTAGCTTTGAAGAGAGAGGAAATACACAACAGTATTGTATTCTGCATGTAAAAATGTAAAGCTCAGCAGCCTGTAAAGAAAGCATTCTTCTTTAACAAAGTACCTGTATCAAAACAATTAAATGTTTCTATAAATGAAACAAGAAAATACTCTCATTAACAATCTCATTCTTGTTAGACTTTGAAAAATTCCTGCTTTTCAAACATGACACACTGAAACTGTATGCAAATTTCACACAGTGGTAACAACACTCCATTATTCCTTCCGGAGTATCTATTTCTTGTCTAAGTAAGTATAAATCTAAGTCACTGCAACAGCCTGCAAGCTTGCCTTTCACCTACCAGAGACGTAAGTTTTCATTTTAATTCCAAAATGGTGACTTCAATTTTTAAATGTAACCATTTTATGCATTCTTAGTAGAATTTCCTTTGGAGAATCTGTGCACTAGGTCATTCCAAACCCTCACTGACCATATAGAAACAGTACAACACATTGTATAGCAATGGTGGTTACAATTCCATTATTTCTTCTAGGATATCTTACTAAAAATAACTCCATCAAGCCAAGTCAAGGACAGAGTGGAGCTTTTTCCTGGAGAGCTATTAAAAAAGTCCAGAAATTGTTTTACAGACAGGCCAGCAATACTGGGAGGAGAACAAGAAGAGGGAAAGGCAAGGATTCCTTATTTGTTCTTCCAAAACAAATTAGTTCAATTTCATCAACAAACCCTTTTTTTAAGTATTACACTTTATTTCAAGAGGAATTTATTCCAAACTTCACAAGTTGTCTACATCCTCCTTTATTAGTAATTTGACCATCTCAATTTTGTACAGATGTAGTGACAGTTATCTTAGATATTCTTGCATGTCATTAGCAAACAATTTAACATTGTTGGGGTAAAAGCGATCCTGGTGAACCCTCAAAAAAACAGGTTAATGGACCATGACTAAAGATTTAGGTAAGACTGTGGAAAGTGTGACCAAAAAACCAGTTTTATCAGAAATTGTATTTTTTAAGCAAACACAGACAGTATTGCAAAGCACTATTTATTGTATACATAAATGATATACATAAAGCTGTTAAATAATTTCCTTCTTACAGGCTCAAGTATCTTATAGGTTAAGCAAACATTCAGCAGCCCCACAAACACTTTGCTCCTTGCCTTTTTACCAAATTCACATGACCTCCATGTTTTCAGCTAATAGAGAGAAAGAGGAAACAAGGACAATCCTAACCCCTAACTAAAGCAGGAAAATTACTCCAGAATGCATTCAAAAATAAAATTGGCTTCCCTAAAGACTGGAACATGCAAAATAACCTTCCATTGGCACTAATGATTTCACCATTTTCTCATCAAATCAACTGAAGTTGCAATGCAAAGAAATGCACTACTCATAGACCAAAGTCAGACTCAAGCTTTCAGTGAGGCCATGCCTGTATCACTGCATCCAGAGCATTGTGAAACATGTATCACAATTCTTCTTGGTTCACAGAAGCTAGAAAAGTTTATTTTTTACTGTTGTTTTGGGGGGTTTTGAATTATTTAAATAAGAGCACTACAGTTTGTATATCTAATAATTTCATCCTAAAATAGCACCTACAAAAACACATTTCAGTAAAATTTCTCATTAAAAAATGAGATACAATTAAATACAGGTTTTAGGATTCTGAGATTGGAAAGATAAACAGGCTGCTTAACTTCTGACCAAATTTGGTGATCTTCACCAGATAAAACACTGTGTTGCTCAAAATATTAATAAATAAATACAGAATTCTTCTGAGGGTCTCACCTGATGACCATCTGATCTTCCACACAGAACTGATTAAACTCTCCTCAAAGAAAACAATTCACTCCTTTTGCCTCGTTCATTTGCAGCCAGTTTAATAAACCACTTATCACTGTGTCAGACTGCTTTGCACAAGCAAAGAACACCAGGAAAAGGATCTCTCCTGACATAGGTCAGGTAGCATAGCTTGAAACAATTCAACAACTCATCATAAATTCCTGAGACTTAGAAATAATAAAGACTGAAAAAGAGAGGAAGTGAAAGAAGCAAGTACTCAGGAGAAGCTGCATTATTTCTAATTTTCTTGCTTTCTACCTGCAGTTTATTCATTGACTTTTAATCACAGAACTGTCCTGGAAACACAAAGACACATAAATTTAGATTAAAATATGAATAATTTAATATGCAGGGCTTGGTTAAACAAACACAGTCAGTGAGGTAGTCCAAAAACTTCAAAATAAATTTTATATCCCTACTCTGTTTTAATGAAGAGACAAAGACATTATAGTGCTATATATGTGCAATTACTTAGTTTTACTGTCTCTAAGTCTCCCAATAAGGAACCAGAACTCCACACACAAGTCCTTTCCTTTTCCAAAATTCAGCTTCAGGTATTTATGTGCACTGGTTTCCTTAGGAAGTTAACTTTCTAAAATTTGCTTTTAGTTGCAGACCACCTAGTACTCTAATAGCACAACATCCTTCCCAAAAACAGGTGGTGTCAATCGATACTTTGCTAATTGTGACTCTAAGCATAAAGCAGAAAAAAATAAGCATTTCCTAATCAATCTTCTCCATTGCCACACATCACACTACAAACTAAGCTAGCACTAGAATACCAAAGTATTAACCTAGATACCATTAAATTTGAGAATATAAATTTAAAGTGTAACCAGCCAATTAATGAATACTGGCTTGATTAGCAAAGGACACCATTCCCAACTCTCCTATCAATGAAAAGGATGAAGAGCCTTAAAGAAAACATTCCAAAGGCTCATAAATCTGTCATTCAAAATGATGATTATCAATTTCATTTTGGCCAAGCACAAATTAATTAAGAAGGAAATTTTATCTTCCGAAGTACTACAGCTGTGTATTTTAGCTCAAGTTCAGCCTGCTGGCATACCTAAAAATATAAATTGTCTATTATTATTTATTCTTATCCATCAATTGAAACATTGTTGGGCTTTTCTTTTTGAGTCAAGAGTGGGCACAGAAAAAACATTCTATGATCTGCCTCACTATACAGCTAATTTATGGTTACCATAATCACAGAGAAACTCAGTGATACAGGTTCAGTCTCCCACATCCCTCACAAACATTTCCCTATATCCATTTAAAGGAAAGCTGAACAAAACAATTACTACAGAATTACCTAGAAACACTAACTCAATCACATTAGTCACACATGACTAAAGAGCTAACAGAAAACCCTTCTGATAAATACATCAACAAGATTCTTTCATTTACAAATCAGGATAATAACATCAGATGCAATTTTAAAGAAACTTGTTAACAAATGTTTTTCTAGATTCAATCACAGGATTAGCCT